CTGATCTATGTGATTTGTTTTTCACCTATCATCCTGTCTTGCTTTTCCCATCCAGGCTAGTTAATCAACCATGGAGGTATTTCTGCAGATTTTCCGAATTTTCTTCACAAATGTCTCCCCAACATGCAGAAATCTTACTATAATGCTCACACTAAACCTCTGCATGAGCAAATACACCACTTGCTAACAATGTTAACTTGAAGTATAGCAAGTAACCATGTTTAACAAACAGGGTAGACAGTGGTTGCCATATAACGAATGCGTGATTGACGGAAGCAAATTGGTAAAATGCTTGCAGGAGTTTTGATTTGAGGGTCGCATATCAATAAAATTGGTGGTAAAAGTGTTTTTTTTTTTTCAGTGATGTACCTGTTCAGAGTTAACTAAAGTTTTTTCTCTCCATTATCAGAAAAGCGGGCATTCCTTCTTTACTACACGACACCTTTGCTGAGCAGATACCTTCCCTCTGATCATCTCTTCTTCCTGATGCTGCTCACTGGTGGAATGTTCAGATTACTTATAAATAAGCAGTCCATTTCACAACAAGAATTAAATGAGGCACATACATATTTGAAGCTTTTCACTGCTCAAGCTCCTGTCTTTTATGGTAAGCATGATATACATTCGTCAAAGTATAAGGAATTTTTTGGTTGTCTTAGCTTTTTGCAAGAAATCCTTGTTTTGTTTTTGAAGAGAAGTCATTCCTTTCAGTGGACTGAAGGGATCACAGATTAATTCTGCATTTTTAACCTTGCAATAGGCTGGCATCCTATATGTGAAATAATAGAAAGCACCATTGTTTTCAAGAAATACCATGTACCAGTATTTTACTGTTAAATTTATGTTTTTCACGTAATTATTGTAAATGTATAAGTATTACTGTAATGATACAATCCTGTATTGTTTCAGATTGTTACAGCAGTGTCAATAATCCAGAAGTTGCCTGAAATTGCAAGATCCACGACCACCTCTCCTGAAGTCCAGGCATTCTATGAACAGCTAACTAGCAAGTGTTACAATGCATGGTAATCAAATGTCACATTGTTGATTTTGTTAAGTCTGTGCCAGTGAGATTTTGCACATACTATCAGACAGATATGCATCAACACAGTGAAGTTTATATGGGAGCTTAGCTGGCAGAAATTGCCAATACCAGTGAATAGCTGGTTCAAAAAATAATTCATTATAATGCTATTT